TTATGCTTGTTTTCATTCTACTTTATTGGGAGTACTACATAACTCGGACTGTTATAAAGAGTATACATTTAGTTTTGTACGAGGTCGATACTTTCGGTTTGTTAAATTTATGCTGGACTGTGCACTCAAGCACACGCGCGCAAGTGCTTTTGTGAAACTGAGTCAAATGTATAAATGCTTTGTTAGCGAATAAATTTATCATTCTTATTATGGACCTTAATATCTATAAGGGGACAATGAATAAAACATCATAGTGGTATAGAGTTTAAGCTAATTGTAGACTAATTATAGCCAGAAAAGGAAACTCCTGAATGTAGTGAACGTAACATTAATTTATGTAGGCGCCTAAATATAGGGCATGTGAGCTGAAAGTATCATATTGTTCCCTGAAAACAGAGGGCATCAGCGAATCGGTAAAAACAAAACAGAGCACTTCAGAAAAAAAAAAAAAGTAACAACTTCGGGAATTAATTTCCTTCGTATAACAGAAGTATGCTTGTTTCTTTTGATGCAATATATTAATTACCTTCACCTGTATCTGTGACATTACGAAAATAAAAGCACCGATGACATGCAATACAAATGCGTATAACAAGAACCTTACAGTCAATATCCTATTTTATAATAATGTGCTTGATATTTCTCAATTTCACTAACATTATAATTTAAAGTGATTTACTGTGTGACAGAACAACTAAAGGCTTTGTACTTCTTGGCATGTGATAGTTCCTGAAAAGGAGCAAAAAATAAAGTAACATGCTTTTGTAGGCTCGTTCCCTCGAGAGCCAATAAACAAAACAAAACTAGTAGTTTTAATGCTAAAAAAAGTACGTGCCTCTGTAATTTGGCTTGCCACTGATGCATTAAATGCAGAATTATGTTTCAATCACCGCGAATCCAGATGTTAAGTTTGTGTACTAAGGAATTTCTGCTTTTCACACCCAAGCAAACATCTGCTTTCGTGGGCCGAGCACTCTGTCTTCTCTTTTTCCAATGTGAAATGAACATTATTATTATTATAATTATAATTATAATAGTGATAATAATAATAATAATAATACATTTTTATTGGAACGCGCATTTAACAAGGCAGATACACGGGCCTGTCAAAGCCAGAAGCGGCTTGTGGGACAGCACCCTACAATTCATGCTTGAAAGAGTCCCCACAAACAAGAAGTTCAAAACTCAAATTCAACTACAGATGCAGAACAATGTAAGTGATGATGGTCATGCCAACATATGCACACAGAAACATGCAGTCACAACTTCTCCCTAATACCTTGAAGTGATTCTTTAAATTTTTTTAAAGAGTCCACAGCATAGATATCATCTGGTAAACTGTTGAAAATAAATGGAACGTAGGAGGAGGAGGAAAGAACATTTATTGTCCGACAGAATTGGCATTCTCCCTCCCCCCTCGGCACCAGGCCGGGGAGGCAGGAGGCACCGCTTTAGATGCTGGCCAGGAGGTCTTGTGTCCCGGCGGCCTCTTCAGCCAGTCGGACGAGGCGGAGCTGGAGCTCAGGGTCCGAACTGCGCAGCAGGGTCTCCCAGGATTCTTTAAAAGCGATATTTAGCGCCCTCCCATTTGAGCATACCCAGATTAAATGGTCGAGGGACCCTCTCAACCCGCAGTGTGTACACTCGTCTGATCTTATATCCGGGAACATATGGTTCACCAGGATTGGGTGTGGGTACGTGTATGTTTGGAGTCGTCGCCACGCGACTGCCTGCGTATTATTTAATGACGGGTCTGGTGGGGGCACCAGCCCACGTTCCAATCTGTAATGTTGAGTAATTTCCCCATATTTTACCATGCGTTCACCACTCCCTTGCCAGAGGGGGTCCTCACCAGCCCGGTGGTATAAACCTCGAGCTAGCTCGTGAGCCGCCTCGTTGCCGGGGACGGAGGCATGTGCCGGTGTCCAGATCAACGTAATTCTCCTCGCAATTTGTCGCTGATCGAGAATCTTCGTTGCCGCAGGCGAGATTCTGCCTGCACTAAAATTTTGGATGGCAGTTTTACTGTCGCTTATGATGAAATTTGCTTCCGTGCCGACGCAAGCCAATGCTACCGCAACTTCCTCCGCCACTGCAGCAGAGCGCGTCCTTAAAGGGGCACTGACACATCAAAATCATATTTTTTTTTATTATTCGAAACGATTGAAAACGATGCCGGGACATTACCCTCAAAATTTGAGATTTGGGAATTCAGTATTCGTGAAGTAAAAAAACAATTTCCAAGTGCCGAATTCGAAGTTCCCGCGCGATCGGCGCCGGTGCCTTGACGTCAAAAATTGAGGAGACCTGAGAGTCCACTTTCCTGTCACCACTCCCTGCTGTTGCCATGGCGACCCAAAGCGAGGGGGATAGGAGCGAGCGCCGGCTAGCGCCGGCGTTGCGGCGGACCGGTTTTGAGCGGTGTCGCCTGTTTTCCGTTGGAGGATACAAATCCAGGAGACGGCACCACAACGAACTCCCGATTTTTGGTATTTCAAAAAGAAGGGCCGTAGTGCGTTCGCAATTGCGTTAAAAAACATGTTTTAAGACTGCCGTAATTAAATGTTATAGAGATGTCGCCTACAAAGCTTCTCAATTTCATGATTTTTGACGTCACCGATCAAAAGAAGCGAGGAGGCGAGAGGCGGGAAAATCAAACGCCAAAAATAAAAAGGCGCGCGCGCAAGCGGGAAAATTTTTTTTCGCGATGCGGTTTTTTTTGCGTGTCTATGACTACAACTTGCATCGTTTTAGACAATAAAAATAAATACGACCTTTGGGGTGTCAGTGCCCCTTTAAGGAGACTGCCGTAACGGCATTTCCGCGGCCATCGACTACCGCGGCTACCGCTCGTCCGTCGCGGCCACAAGCGGCGTCCACATACGCTACCTGCTCCGAGGGCAGCTCCCTATACTGGAGACTAATGGCCTCTGCTCTCTTCTCTCTCCTGATCTTATTATGCTCGGGATGCGTATTCTTAGGTAAAGGGGGGATGGTTAGCCAGCTTCTTATTCCCTCCTTAATTTCTGCCTTCTGGATTGGGCCGGTGTGCGGATTGATTCCTACTTTAGCCAGGATAGTCCTGCCCGTTTTTGTGGCGCACAATCTCTCAATCTAAGATGTGCGCGCCGCTCCCGCCAGTTCCACCCACGTGTTGTGCATCCCGAGCGCCAAAAGGCGCTCCGTGGATGTGCACGTGGGCAGGCCCAGCGCGCGCTTGACGCATCTACGTATTAATCCGTCAATTTTCATCTTTTCTGCCGACTTTAAGTCGAGATAAGGCGTAGATTAGCTAACTCTGCTGAATATGAAAACTTGTACCAGCCTCATTAAATTCTTTTCTTTTAATCCTCGCCCTTTGCTCGCAACCCGCCTGATGAGGCTCAGTGTCTGCATCACGTGGCTCTCCAGTCGCTTTAGAGTCTCTCCGTTGTGGCCGTGAGACTGGAGAACTAGGCCGAGAATTCGTATCTGTTCTACTTTTGGGACCTCTGCTCCCGCTACCTGAATTAGAATATCCGACGGTGCCTTACACCGGAGATGCTTAGGGTTGTAGACGAATAGTTCCGATTTTCGTGGCGAACAAGCCAATCCTCGCTCGGCCGCGTACGTCACGATTGTGTCGGTCGCCGCCTGGAGCCTTTGTACAATTTCCGAGTCACTACCTTGGTTGACCCATAAGGTAATGTCATCTGCGTAGAGGCTGAATTGTAGCCCCTCGATGCGTTCCAACTGCCCGGGGAGCGCGCACATGGCCACGTTAAAGAGGAGGGGGGACAACACCGAGCCCTGGGGCGTGCCCCTGCTGCCCAGCTCAAGAATGGAAGATTCGATAGATTGGAATTTTACGCAGGCCGTCCTGCCGGAAAGGAAGTTTCGCACGTAATTGAAAGTTTTAGTGCCCACATTTAGATTGCTAAGTCCGGTAAGTACCGACTCGTGCTTTACGTTGTCGAAGGCTTTCGTCAGGTCTAGCCCTAGGATCACCTTCGCATCCTTAGACCGCGAGTCGACAACGTCGTGTTTAATCTGAAGCATGATATCCTGCGTGCACAGATGAGGGCGGAACCCGATCATTGTGTGCGGCAAGAGGTCCTGCTTTTCCAGGTATTCGATTAATCTCGTCTGGATGACGTGCTCCATTAGCTTTCCTATGCACGAGGTAAGCGATATGGGCCTGAGATTCCCGAGCTGCGGAGGCTTGCCCGGCTTGGGTATTAAGGTGACTTTTGCCGTTTTCCATTGCTGCGGCAGCTCGCCTTTGTCCCAGCATTCTTGCATGTACTCCGTTAGGTAACCTATCGAGGTATCATCCAAATTCCTGAACATTTTATTTGTAATCCCGTCAGGACCCAAAAAAAAAGGTCCTGACGGGATTACAAAATGGAACGTAAAAATTTCGCACTCTTTTTCCGTACTTTGTTTCTACGAAAGGCACTTCAAACCGCTCAACACGCCGAAGAGGTCTACATAAGACACGAGGTATCTTAAACGTATCGCTCCAGAAGTATTTTAGAACAACCGTGTGTACAAGTAAAGGATAAAAAAATTATAACAAATAATTGTTATAATAATAATAATAATAATAATCATTATTATTATTATTATTATTATTATTATTATTATTCAGATGAAAAATAGTAATAAATCAATTGATAGTGTGGGTGGGTGAGGCATAGAAGATTTCAGAATCCCACAGAACAAATCACTTTGATGCCATTACGAAAGTAATTTACTGAACGTATTAAATCCTCCTATTACGAAAACATTTCTAAAACGGGGAGTGAATCTTTAGTAAATTATAATATACTTAAAATTCCACGCTCTCTATGGTTTCAGTCTCAGCTTGGCGGGGAAAAAAGAAAGGGGGGGAGACGACGTGGAGCACGCACTAATATTTGTCGCTTATGGAGAATTGAGGAGGGCTTGAACATCGAAGCCCCTCACGAAAATGAGAGCACGTTGATAAAGCAATCATGTCATTGAAGGTAGCTATATTCATATACGAAATAGTAATATTAAGCAACATACCCGTTCTAGAATCGAAAAGACCAACGTAGGAAGAGCGAGGAACCCCTCTTGAATTAGACACCTTCCTAAGTTCTATTCTCAAGCCTTCCAAGAACGTCTCGTCGTTGCAAAATATATTCGCGAGTCACATAAATTGTGCCGCTTTATTTCGGTCGGCCAGGCAACTGGCGTAACCAGGCTCAAAGCCGTAACACCGACAGGGAAAGTAAAAAGAACGGCAACATCAGCCCCGTTTCCCGAACAAGTTCATCTGAATAGTCAAAACCCACCCAGGAACCAGGCGGGGGCGCTCCGCCTCCTCATCATCCTCGACAGCCCGCGCGCGCGCACCCACTTCAAAGAAAAAGTCCGTCCCCTCCGACTTCCCAAGACATCGGCAAACTTCGCCCGCAGCAGCGTGCACCCGTGGCAGGGGCGGCGGCACGACTCACTCGAGCAGACATGTTTACAACGCACGCCTAAATCAAGCCCTGCCGGGACACAAGCGGAGCGGGCGCGAGGCTCACGTGCAGCGGCTGCAGCGGAAGGCAGCACCCCTGACAACACGGGCGCTGCTGGTCGAGGCCTGCAGTGCGCCGGCGCTTCCCCGCACGGCCGGCGTCGACGTCAGCGGGCGCCCGTGGAGCGGCGGCGCGTCGGACGCTGCGCCTGGGCCAGAGACCCGGGGCATCGCGATCGGGCCGGAGAGCGCCGCAGCCCGCTCGAACGGCGAAGAAGACGACGTGCTGCACGCAGCCGGACCCGAACCGAGAGGGCGCAGGAGGGGGGTCGCAGCGGGCAGGCGCAACGGCGACCGTCGTCGAGCTCGGCTCGCGCGGTAGCCACCAGCGACTCGGGGGCCATGGATAGCGGCGGCGTCATCTACCTGGAACAGCAAGCCCTGCAGCAGCCGCAGGTGCCGGCCGCCGTGGCCCCGGCGGCCGTGGTGCCGCCGCCAGTGGTGGTGGTGTCGGCGGCGGCCAGCGGCAAGCCGCCGGCGCCGGCGCCACCCGTGGTGGTGGCGCCCAGTCAGGGGCCGCCGCCGCCTCCCGTGGTGCCCATCCACCACCCGGCCATGGGGCCGCACCTGGTGAACGACCAGGCACGCTACTCGAACCCGCCGGGGCACCGCTGGATGTCGCAGACCACCGCCGCCGGTGAGTGGACGCCGCGCACGTCTCGGTTCCGGCACTTTGGACGGATCGCGAGCTGGAGCGGAAGCTCTCGCTCCACGGATGGGGAAAAAAAATCATTTGAAGGTTGTTTTCTACTGGGCTTTAGTGATGGCAGCGTCAACCGGTGGTTCCACATCGTGTGCGCTGTTCTCTAATCACGCACGCGTATAACTCCAAGACTCACGACCAAGAGCATGGGCTCTCACTCAACGGATAGGGAGGAAGGATGGCACTCTAGAGTTTTACTCGCTTGTGCTTAAGGTCTCTGCCTGTGATGCGTCAGATTCATATGTCTGATGTCTGGAAGTTCCCACAGAATTAGCGGGAGCGTGGCCATCTGATGAACCGCAGCGCTGTCTCCGTGGATACATGTTCGTTCTCCCATAAACGCATTAACACATGCTCCGCATCGACGTCCATATATCCGTAGATACGATGTCCACCTGTTTATGGCTCTATGAACAAGATGGTAGGTCAGTGATCACCCAGACCGTTAGAAACTGTCTACATTGAGAAACGACTGGTCCCTCTACAAAAAAGATACACGTTGCGTCAATGGAAACTGAGTTGTTTGGAAGAGCGATTGCTGACCGAATTTTTAAAGGTGCATTTTGTCATATCTTGACAAGCCTCGGTAGAGCAACCGTGACTCAACTGGTTAAATACGACGGATATTGTGAAGAAGTAGTCTTTTGACTTCAAAAGAAAATACGGGGGTGTTCACAATCGCCGTTGTGAATCGTAAACTGGCCACAAGAACAACCCAGGTTAACGCGATCATTACATCTGGACCCACACGTGCTCCTGGCGTGACCGTAGTTTTCCTTGGTGCCCAGAGCCGTACATGTTTGGCTTTCGGGGGCACATTGCGAGGGATTAATCTTCCTCCTTGTGATGTTTCGAGAAATATTTACCAGATATCGGCTCGCATATTTCATTACCCGTCTTCGATAGACGGCGTGTTGAACATAATGTCCTCGGCTCGAGCCTGATGATGTTCAGCCATAAATAACCTTTTTTACGAAAACGTACTGCGTTGGGAGCCTCCCATCCCTGTGCAGAACAACTGAAGAAATGACGCACACAACTTTGGGGAATGTCTCAGCTGCATGAGAACGTGCGCTTCCTGAGCACATCTGACCTTCTGGTGAAAATTGAGCGATGTTTCCAATAGAGTTTTAGGATGTTCGAACAAGTGCCTTATTCCTCGGGTGGGGAGAAGTTTGCCTCTTCAACTCTATTTCCTTGTGTGGCTGATAATGTTTTTGGTTTATGCATATGTTTTGTTAATTGGTAATGGAATGTCCATTTTCTTGGACGGAAAGCTTCCTAGCTTCGCTGCTTATGAGCACGAGATGTAAGTTAGTAAACTTGGTTGCAGTTTAAGTGTGAGGTGACATCTTTTTACTTCGTCACAATTTTGATTTCATTAGAAAGAAAGAAACCAGGGCATTATTCGTTATTAAGAAAGCTGCCATACTTTTCACAATTAGCAGAACATTCTCTAAGCCATTTGTAGACCATTGTAATGCCTGCTTCACTGTAGACAAAGTCTAAAAAACAGTCAACGGAAAACAAAAACGTGGATCAATAAAGAGTTTCAGGCAATTCATAGAAACTATAAAATTAACATGAACGGCCAATTCGCGGGGTTTAAAGTAGTCCGCTTATTCTTCGCCCATAACAGATTGAAGACCTCTCAGGGAAACAACTCACACGTAAATAGGCAAAGCGCAAACAATTTGCATCACATATGAACGTAATCTGAATTCCCAATGTGCATAGTTCGGAAAAGACTACCTGACCAATAGTCATTAGACAATTCTAATAATTGATAACTATTGTGATGAATGTTACGGCAGTCAGGACAAGACACTCAGAGGACTACTTACTCGTCGATTGGGCTTCGCGGTGACCAGAGGCCTAATAATGTCATAAACGAACACATCGACTTTTGAAGGTTTTATTGTATATTGTTTCCTAAAACTCACACGAACAGTACTAGCTCTTGCCACGGATAAAAGCGCACGTAAGGAATGGAACTAGGAAGCTTTATTCGCGCAGGATTCGGCGTTTTACTCGATTGACAAGAAGCCCAGGGATTTTATTACCAAGTTATCTGAGCATTTTCACTTTATTAACTTTAATTACTCTATAACTGAGCAATTTTAAAAATCACCACGGCTCTATTTCCCACCTAAATTGCAATATATTACACTACAATAAATTACAATTACGTGCAGGGGCTAATCACAAAAATCAAGAATTGGCGGAAGAGATCAACAATTTAATGTTTACTGTGTCGCGGTGAGCTTTTTTTCCAAATTATCGGTTTACTGGTTGTCCTGTGCTTGTCGGTTTACGTGGTTGTCCTCGCTTGTCCTCCGTGTTTTATTCTTTCGATTTTAAATACCGGTTTACGTGTAGATAAAAGAAATACCTATAAAAATGTGCCCTGACGATCCGGTTTTCTTAGGCAATTGAGTTCTTACTAAATATTTCATTAAAATCGTGTGCATTGTTTTGTATAATATGACTGAATTTATTATCTTTACATTGTTTATATTTAGGAATGCAAAATCTTTCTCCATGACTTCATACTTTTAAACAAAGAACCAGCAAACTATTTTTTTAATCTGAATTCAGCTGAGCATTTTTAAAATATACAGCCTTTTTAAACGCAACAATCGACACTATTGAAACAATGTGGGGTGTATGTGACTTTTGGACCTCCTTCAGTTCTTGCAGCTTAAATATAGACCATCATAAATTTTCGTCAGCGTTCAGTTACTTTCAACTTAAATGACGAGCTGCGAAACCTTCTGAAGGGGTGAAAATTTTACCCTCTATTTTTCGTTTATCAAGGAGTGATTTGTATTAAGACTTATTTCAGTAGAGACCTTTAGAGGGAAGATAAACCACAGTAAGCACACGAGCAAAGTACTGGAGGAAACAATAAAAATTCCTTAAATTTGGCTCAGTCACGCAAGGCGATCAAGAAAGGAGAAAGTAAAAAAAAATGCAGTCAGGCCTTCGACCGATGGAGACACAGCGCTGTCTTGCACTACCTCCTAAACAATATGGGCAGTGCCACTTAACACCACTCACGGATTTGGCATTAGTCGTGGGTAAGCATGTAATCTAAATAGACCAATTTTCTTTTGGGACATACGAGTGAAATGGTATTATTTTGTTAAGTAGAAGTTATGGGGTATTCTTCGCACACAAAAACAGAAACCCAGATTTTATTGAAACTTTGGAAAAAATGAACAGGGTGCAAGAAATAAGATCAAGAGTGGGGTGACAAACGAGAGCTAAACAAATTAGAAAAATAAAACATAGTGAAAGACTGGCTTCCTTTTTGTAAAAAATGTAACACTTCATCGTTTTTTTTTTTCAAAAGGAAACGATGGAGATGGGCGTAGTGCAACAACTTATTATTCTTATTTTTTTTTTTTGCTTAAGCCGTTACAACATTATCGAAGTGCTTCTTGACAAAGTAAAGCATTCGTTGAACAGACAGCTATTATTAAGGTATTTATTTCTATGGAATGAGAAGAATTATATTTAATTGGTAAGTCTAGTTAAAACGAGCATACTGTTCAGGCTGATTGAAGAGCAAATTTCGCACGGATGATCGCACTGCTTTAATTAGCGAACAAGCGAACACACACACACACACAAAAAGTCCGTGACGCTGATGTTTTTGTTTTAATTGTTGAACATCTGTAACCTAATTAAACAAACTTTCATACAAAAGAAACGAATGTTTAAGGGAGAAATATAGAAATAAATACGTACAGATCCCTAATTGGTCGAGCGAATCTTTTAACTGAGCCGTACAGAGTTTCAAATACATAGGTTATTCTCTCTAATGTTATTAATCATGCTTCTTGAACAAAACGAAGCATTATTAATGCTTCAAGAAGTATGTACATTTGTTTCTGTATATTTAATATTGTTCAACACAGACTCAATTATTCGGGTTTAACAAAATACTATACGTATTCTTGGAACCGTTGTCCTTTTTCTAATCACTCTTCCGCACAAAGTTTCATCTCTTTGTTTCTCTCACACTGTTTTACCCCTTCTTTCCTTCTATAATGCTTTCTGCTGGGTAATAAGGGCAGTTTCGTCTAGTTTACCAAGCATAGTTGTCGCAGAATAGCTACATAAAGTAGAGCCATAAAGATTTCGAAACACATGTTTTACTTGGCGGCTTTTATAAAGGTAAATATCATCCGTAAATTTAAGCAATTTATGTGGAAGTGTCAACAAGCATCCGTGAGATGTTTTACTTAAAACAGGTATATGGCACAATGAGTAGCCCTCGATAAAAGTCGCACCTAGCAAGCATGCCAAGTATTAATACCAAGTACCTAGAAATGGAAGGGGAAGGACACGTTAACTGAATATCCTTTTGAAACTGTAAACATTTGAGAATAGAAGAGTAACTTTGACAAAACACACGAAACTACAACACCAAAACAGCAGCATTGTGCACTGTACAATTGCTTCGTCACTCTCGGGTCTGCAAAATGTTCAATCTGCAAAAACTTTGTCAATGCCGGCAACAAACTTAAAATTCTTTTTCGTCGACTAATAAATTTTAGAAAAATAATTCCTCATTAGCAGCAGCAGCACCATTTCTGTGTGCGTGTGCTCAATACAAGAAAAATTTGCTAGAATATGACAACACTGCGGGTGTACAGGAAAGCCAAACAGGATTCACGAAACACTGTCCACTCGTCGAATAATTAATCGTGCTTTAAACAGCTAAAACTTGATGAGACCTAGAGATGTACAGCACCAAGAAGGCGTGCAGCATAGACTCAGAAAAAGTGTTTACCCCCCTTTCCAGGGTATCTTTAGGGTCATTGTAGTTCAATACGCTCGTCCAGGCAAATGGCTATTTAAATGTGATTTACAAAGAATACCGTTTGTAACAGCGTGTAATGATATACCTAAATACAATCTCAGCT